TGTATCACTCAATATGATAGCTGTATTTTTTCTTTGTATTTCCAGCACCTAACAGTTCTTGAACCATAGCAAATAAACAATATGGATGGATGGATGGATGGATGGATGGATGGATGGATGGATGGATGGATGGATGGCATTCTAGCAAATACAGCATCCTTTGATGGTAGAAAATGAAGAAACAGAGGACATGATGTCTCCAGTTTTGTTTTGTTTTTTTTCTTTTTTGTTTTCTTTTTTTTTTTTTTTCTTCTGAGACAAGGTTTCTCTGTGTAACAGTCCCAGCTGTCCTGGAACGTGCTTTGTAGACCAGGCTGGCCTCAAACTCAGAGATCTGCCTTCCTCTGCCTCCCAAGTTCTGAGGTCAAAGGCATATGCCATCACTGCCCAGCTGATGTCTCCAGTTTTAATGGAGGATCTCACTGACTTAAGGGGAAGGGATATTGATGTCTGCACAAACTATGGGTCAAACAAACTAATGTTTGGCTGTGTCAAAAGCAGCGTAGGGATGGAAAGATGGCTCAGCTATTCAGAGCACTGGCTGCTCTTGTAGAGGACACAGGCATGGTTCTCAGCACCCACATGGTAGCTCACAACCATCTGTAACTACCGTTCCAGGGGATATGAGCCCCCTTCTGGCCTCCACAGGCATTGCATGCATAAGGTACACATACATAAACACAGGCAAACACTCATACACATTAAATTAAAATAATGAAAACCTTTTTTTTTTTTAAAGCAGTGTAGAGCAAGGGTACAACTGTGTCCAGTTTTGAGAAGAATCCTTCAGGAGAGATACTAACTATGGACAACTACGTCATGTAAGAGATCGTTAAAGGAATTGGGAAGGCCAAATTGGTAAATAAGGATTCTCCTCAAGTGGAGGACACTGAGGTAAAATCAGACTGTGCAATCTAGAAGAAGCAATTCTAGAACTTTGTGATGATCGGAGCTGCAGTAAGGTAGCTTGCTCCAGTCACCCAGTAGAGGGATACAGAGCCAGCATGACCACCGACAGGAAATGAGGTACAGAAATTAAGATACCCTATAAAATAAAAGAACCTATCAGCAGGCTGCATTCAAATAAAAGCAGTGCTTTCTAACTAGTTCCCTAAAATAAATGAAACTTATTTATTAACTAAACAAAGTCTCTCCTCCTCTAGTAGAGAGACAGAGACAAGGAGGACGAAGGAGAGAGATAAGGGTCAGCGAGAGCTACAGTCTCTCTGTGTCGGAGGGCAGAATGACTCTGTCCTTGTTGCACAGGTGTTGCTATTATTGGAAACTAACTACAACAATAAATAAAAATAGAAACAGTAACTGTATGGAGCTATGTATTTCCAGCAGCATGTAAAGTGCCTCCCATGTCTCTTTTCTTTTGACCCACATCTCACAGCAACCCTATGAGACAGGCATTCCTATTATCCTCGCTGTACAGATGGGGAAACTGAGGTGCGGAATCTATACAACTAGCTTAGTGTTTCACAACTCTCCTCATTCAATCAGTGTTAGCTGTGAAAGTTCCCGGCTCACAGATGCTCAAAAAACCAGGTGTCCCCTCCCCTTGTTCAGACTTCCAAATCCCAACTCTGTCCTGTGGCTGCATCCTCTCCATCCTCCGTGGGATGCTGCTGTAGGAGGCACAGAGGTCTTTGCGCTCACTGATAAGCGCTAGGGGTGCCTAGAATGTTAAGCACACAGGGCTGTTCCTTTAAGGGTAGGAATGTAATAACCGCTATCTACCCAGAAGGCTGGATGTGGATGTGTTTACTAGCCTGGTGACCTTTGCTCTGTGTGGTAGAGACTTTTCCAGCACCGGATCCTCCCCCAGATCCTTATCAGTAAAACTACAGAACCGATCTTTATGGACTTTACACAGAGTTTTGATGTAGTCACACCTGATCTA